AATGGAAGAGGAGCACCCAGGTCATCACGTCGGTGATTGTCCTCTCTGCTGTAGGCTGTAGAAATGGGCCTCCTTCAAGATCTGGTTAATGTGGGAGTAAGGACCTTGGCCTTGGCACAGTGCATAGTCCTCATGTGAGAACTCGGGGATATTGGAGTATAGTTCAGCAATGTTCTGGTTTAAGCTGCTTTCTGGTACACTTCCTCGTACTGGGATATTGATGCTGCTGTGGTTTCTTTCATTAGCACTGCTTGACGACTGGAAGGAGAAAGACAGAAGGAGGATGGCTACTATGATACTGTCATCATTTCCTGTTCAGCTTGAAGAATACTGGCATCACGCTCTACACAAGGCTCCACAGTCTATGAAGTGCAAACACTTGGGTAGCTCCTTCCCTCCTGACAGCAGCGCTACCACACAAACCAGGGTTAATGGCACCCATTTAACAGAACAGGAAAGAGATGTTTTACAAACCCAAAGGCAAGTGTTTGGGAATGTCTGTTTGAAACCTCCAAAACCCTTCATATATCCTCTGACCCTATGGAACCATGCATTTGAATTACCTGAACCAGGGAAGTAACCTCCCAAAAGCCAGGACAAAGCAGCAATCAGTGCTGCATAATGTGATATGGATAAATGAGTAAAATGGAATGCAAGCCCAAGTCCCAATGTGGCAGGTCCACGCACTCCATAAAATAAAAGGATATTTCAGAAGAATCTGGGAAAAAAGATCTCACCATTTAAAGTATCCAAAGGTTCTAAACAATGATGTGGCCTAGACACATGGGCAAAGGCAAGGTTATACTTTGTTGAGGACCTTAATAAAATCTGAATGTTTTCCTCAGAGTCAAGGAAACAGTGTGGTCAGCAGAGATCTGGTACAGTTCTATTTGAGGACAGGACAGAGAATTGCCTGTGCAGGTTTCTTATTTACCAGTTAGCTCAGAAGCCTACTCAACTGGGCTACACTTGGGAGAGACTGCTGGGTAGTCACAGGCCTTTGCAATGCCCAATCTATCCAAACACATGCTTGTGGATTTACTACTGGAACAGGAATCTCATCTTGTCCTCAGAGGCCCCTGAGCTGGAACTGACCTGAAAGTCTCTTTCATGAGGTCTGTACTTCATGGGGACAAACTTCCAAAAGAGGGAAGCAGTCAGCAGTCCTACCCAGCCATGATGCCTGTGAACCACAACAACCAGCATGGTAAGATAGCCCTAAGGGTGCGGTACTGGCACATGCACTAGTGGTGACCTATGGGTTCTCAATCTTCAGTCCTGCTCAGGAGGAGGGAAATCATATCTGGTACAGGACACCTAGGGGTAGATATAGTAGAGGAATCTGCAGAAGCAGTAACTGCCCCTTTAAGAAGACAACATAATCCCTAACTACACTGCAAATATCTCCCCTTATACCTAGACAGCAGTGCGGTCTTCATGCAGCATCATGGAAACGTCTTCTTCCAACAGAGACCATTGAAGAAAGCCACAACTAATGAAAATGCAGCGCCGTGGCGCTCAGTCCCAACAGACACAAGGAAGAGAGTGGAAGAGGGAAAGATT